AAAAAAAAAAAAAAAAAAAAAAAAATCAAGTGGAGTCAGGCACAGTGGCTCATGCCTATAATCTCAGTACTTTGGGAGGCCAAAGCAAGAGGATTGCCTGGGCTCAGGGGTTCGAGACCAGCAAGGGTAACTTAGTGAGACCTCGTCTCTACAAAATATCAACAACAACAACAAAAAGTCGGGGTATTGGCTCAAGTCTATAGTCCCAGCAACTAGGGAAGCTGAGGCAGAAGGATCACTTGAGTCCAGAAGGTCGAGGCTGTGGTAGCCATGACTGCACCACTGCATGACAGCCTGGGTGACAGAGATTCTGACTCCAAAACAAACAAAAAATTAAAATTAAAAGTTGTTATTTTTGGCAGATAACTGGTAGAACGAAGAACAAACAACTCTCTACAATTTGGATGCTTTGATGATCTTAACTACCTGCTACACATGATCTCTCAAAGACCAGAGGGACAATATTATAAGTCTATTATTACTAAACAGTGTAGCACTTTTTCTTTTAAAATCAATACCTTTTAGGCTTTTCTGTGGTTTGGAGGATTTCTTCTCCTTTAAACTCTGGTTTTTAACAGATTTTTGTTTTCTCTTCTCTTCTTCAGCAAGAACTTTCTGAAGCAAATGAGCAAAAAAATCGAAGTCAAAAGGGCGCTTTTCCTCTGTTTAAAAAAAGAAAAAGAACTTTCAAGTTTTTGTTTTTTAAAAAACTATTTCTAGTTTTTTTTTCTTTTTCTAAAAGTATAACATCAAAAACAAATGGGCTTGTCTATAAGCAGGAAAATGAAAAAATAAGTACATAACAGAACACCACAGCAATAAAAGGAATAAACTAGTTGAAAACCAAAAAAGAACTACTGATTTAAGCAACAATATGGGTGAATCTTAAAAACATGGTCAAAGAAACCACATACAAAAGAATACATACTATATGATTCCATGGATAAGATATTCCAGAACATACTAAACTAATCTATAGCGATTCAAGTAAAAACACTGGTTGCCTTAGGAAGATAGCATTTGATTGACTGGAAAGGGAAATGAGAGACCTTCTAAAGTGATAAATATGATCCCTCTGTTTTGGGGGGTAGTGGCTATACTGGTACATTCTTTATCAAAATTCAAACTACACTTTGAACTGTGTGTAAATACAAATCAATATTTTAAATGACAAAAATGACTAAGAAGTTCTCAAAATACCTATCTACCACCACATGCCCTACCTCTATCACAACCATTTATTTAACTATTTACTCTTCCAAATGCCAGCCAAGTGGAAAGTAGCTGAATACTAATCAGGAACATTCCCACTAAATACACATCAACTGCACTACATCAGCAAAAGCCATCAGGGAACAAACCAGGAATAAATCCAGTACAGGATCAAATCCTTGCCTAAGCACTACATCCAAACTTGTGAATGTGGAGAAAACGGTGCTTTATATACATACCATAAAAATATGGAAGAAACTTACTCTTCTGTTTTTCTCCTTCACATAAGCTGAAGATTGGTTAGATTACAAGATGGGCTCCGAAAAAGAGGTATATAGTTAGATACAGTGGCTCTTGCCTATAATTCCAGCACTTTGGGAGGCCAAGCTAAGAGGAGTGCTTGAGACCAGGAGTTTGAGACCAGTCTAGACAACACAGCAAGATCTCGGCTTGACAAAAATAAAAAATAAAAAAAATAGCCAGGCAAGGTGGCAAGTGCCTGTAGTCCCAGCTACTCAGAGGCAGAGGCAGGATCACCTGAGCCCAGGAGGCAGAGGCTGCAGTGAGCAATTACTATGCCACTGTACTCCAAACTGGGTAATAAAGTGAGACTCCAGCTCAAAAACAAAAGAGAGAAAAAGGCACTACTAAATAAAAATAGTCTCAGGAAACTAATTTCAAATCTGGGGTCCCTAAAGGCCCTGCTTTATGGATGACCCACAGTGAATCTGTTCTGACGCTCCACAACAACGATTCTGAAAGAGACAGCACTCAAAAGAAGCCATAAAGGATCTCCATCCACATGGTTTCCAGAGAAATTAAAAATATAAGTGTCCCCAAAAAACCCTATGAGAGTTTAACTTTTTTTAAAAATTGCCCAATACAAAGCACCAAAATCAGTGAGGTTTTTTTGTTTTTGTTTTGAGATGGGGTGTTGTTATGTTGCCCAGGGTGGCCTCAAATTCCTGGGCTCAAGAGCTTCTCCCACTTCAACCTACTAAGTAGCTGGTATTACAGGCACACAGCACTATGCTCAAAATCAGTGAGTTTTAAAGACAGCTATTAAAATGTTCTTTGAAAAGACTTCACACTCCAAATGGATTTTTTTTTGTTGGAGTCTTACTCTGTCGCCCAGGCCGGAATGCAGTGGCATGCTGCTCACAGTCACCACAGCCTCGACCTGTGACCCTTCCGTCTCAGTCTTCCAAGTAGCTAGAACTATAGGCATGCGCCACCACGACAGGTAATATTTTTATTTATTGTAGAGACAAGGTCTCTCCATGTTGCCCAGCCTGGTCTCAAACCGGCAAGCTCAGGCAATCCTCTGGCATCCACCTCCCAAAGTGCTGGGATTACAGGCATGAGCCACTCCACCAGGTTTCTTTTTTTTGTTTTTTTTTTTTGAGTCAAAGTCTCACTGTTGCCCAGGCTAGAATGCAGTGGCATGCTCACAGCTACCGCAGCCTCAATCTGCTGGGCTCAGGCGATCCTTCTACTCCAGCCTTCCAAGTAGCTGGGATCACAGGCACACAACACCACACCCGGCTAATTTTTTGATTTATTGTAGAGACGAGGTCCCGCCATGTTACCCAGGCTAGTCTCGAAGTCCTGGGCTCAGGCAATCCTCCTGCCTCCACATCCCAAAATGCTGGGATTACAGAAGTGAGTCACTGCACCTGGCTTGTTTTATTTTCTGATTATAATGTGTAAACCTAATGAAAAGTTTCAGGACCACTTCTCTAACATGGAGTGGGTTGAGGCCCACAGTATTTCAGATCTTCTAGGAGCCATTTCTGGAAGTGGTCTCACTGAAGACCCAATACAACATTGGGTGTAGGTTCTACCCACCTACCTCAGTGTCTACTCATAAATAAATGTACATGCTACATAACCTAAATTCTTGCTATACTTGGATTTTTTTCTAAAATTAGCACTATGGCTAATCTTATAGCTAAATGGACACTGAATATATTTATTAATCATAAATTACTATTATAGCTCCATGAAAAATACATATCCTCCAAACAAAGACAGGAACTACCAAATTTTTTTTTTTTTTTTGAGTTGGAGTCTCACTCTGTCGCCCAGGCTAGAGGGCAGTAGCATGTTCACAGCCACCACAGCCTCAACCTGCTGGGCTCAGGCGATCCTGCCTCAGCTTCCAAGTAGCTGAACTACAGGCATGTGCCACCACGCCCGGCTAATTTTTTTGATTTATTGTAGAGATGAGTTCTCACCAAGCTGCCCAGGCTAGTCTCAAACCCGTGGGCTCAGACAATCCTCTCACCTCGGTCTCCCAAAGTGCTGGGATTATAGGCACGAGCCACCTTCCCAGGCCAGGAACTATTTTAAACAGTAAATTTAATTACACCTCATTACAGATCCCTTGATGTCTTTCTCTAGACTTAAAAATAAGAAAAAGTTGGCCAGGCATGATGGCTCATGCCTATAATCCCAGCACATTGGGAGGCAGAGGTGAGATGATTGCCTGAGCCCACAGGTTCAAGACCAGCTTGGGAAACATGGAGAAATCTCATATCTACAATAAATCAAAACAATTAGCCAGGCATGGTGGTACATGCCTGTAGTCCCAGCTACTTGGAAGGCTGAAGCGGAAGGATCACCTAAGCCCAGCAGATCAAGGCTGCGTTGGCCATGAGTATGCCACTGCACTCCAGTCTGAGCAAAAGAGACCCCAACTCAAAAAAAAAAAAGTTAATTTTAAAGAAGACATTAGAAGCTGAAATGTATCTATCATTCCTTTAAATCATATCTAAATTCAAATGCTACCTCTTTAGACAGATCTTTCCTGATGACCCAATCCAAACATGTATCCCCCCAACTCCCTCTATTTTCTTCTTCTTCGACATTAATCATCTAAAATTATTGTGTTAATCAACTATATTTCTTCCCTCATCCAATTAGACTTAAGGATTTTCATATGCCGTGTTCACCAGTATATCCTTGATATCAAAAATAGAAGAGTAACTAAGCATTCAGTAGGTGATCAGTGTTGCTGACTGAATGACTGACTACTAGAAATAAACATCTATGTACTCTATCTTTCAGAAACAATTATCTCCTTGACTACAGTTCCTTTAGAATAAAGAATATTTAGAAGTGGTACCATCAGTCCCTCTATAACCTCTTGGACTTAGAATTAGAACTGTTTACTTGTATCTAGCTGTGTTAACTAATCCTTTACCTACAGATTTGTAGCAACTGCCAGACCCATACTGCTAAATAGAAAATTTTGCAGTCATATTCTAGCTATGCCAACACAGGAACAAAACAAATTTAAAACGCACTGAAGCCAAAGACAAAAGATTGGTTCTTTTTTTTTTCTTCTTTTTTTTTTTTTTGAGTTGGAGTCTCACTCTGTCACTCAGACTGGAGTGCAGTGGCCATTCCCAGCCACTGCAGCCTCGACCTGCTGGGCTCCAGAGATCCTTCTGCCTCAGCCTTCCAAGTAGCTGGAACTACAAGTGCACGCTACCACGCCCAGCTAGTTTTTGATTTATTGTAGAGATAAGGTCTCACCAAGTTGCCCAGGTGGGTCTCGAACCCTTGGGCTCAGGCAATCCACTCACCTCAGCCTCCCAAAGCACGGGATTACAGGCTGAGTCACCATGCCCGGCCAAGATTGGTTCTTTTTTAGGCTCTTCAAGTAATACTTTGTAAAAGAGGTCTTGATACTTACGGAATGCTTTGTCTATTCTCCATCCATTTGTTTTCTCTTCACGTTTAAATTTATTCTGTTAACAACAACAAAAAAAACCCATTAAACAAGATTTTTTAAAAACAATAAACATTGACCATCTAACTGGCCCTCATTTGACCCTTGTCCTGCCAGAAAAAAAAAACAACAAAAAAAAAACAGTAAACATTAAAATGAAATTCTTATGAATAACATACTATTCTCTACTAAATATGTCTTTGCCAACAGGCAAGTTAAACCTTTAGCTTTTTAAAAATAAAGAGGAAAGATTTTCACTGAGCTTCCTCATGCTCATTATCTACAGTATGAATCAGCAATGGAAGCTGGATTTACAGAAGACACAAAAAAATAAAGTCAAACATGGAAGCAGATCAAACCTATAATCAATTAAGCTAACTAGTATTAACGTTTAAAGAATTAATTACTCATATCGAGTTAAACATCTCACATTATTGCTCTAATGATGTTTCCAGTGGCATGGAAGAGAGACAGTAGAGAAATAACTAAGCAAAATTTTGAAGCAGGCCAAGATGACCTTGAGAACCTTCTCTATATTAAGACACATTTCCTCATGCTTTTCTCAACACCAAAGATCTCCCTCCTTAGTTTCACAACAGATGACCTCCATTAAGATGCAGATGCTAAGGCTTAAGGTGCAATCCATCCTAAGGTTACAGGAAAGACTGAGGGCGTAAGTCTATGTCTGAGAATGCCTAATCATGGACACACAATCTCAGAGGAGAAAAAGTCAGCCAAAATGATCTACAAGCTTCAATTAAAAACACAAAATAAAACTTTTTATTGCAAAAAATATACAGACATAGAAAACACACAAAACAAAGGAAATGCTTCATGGCCCCTCTCCTCCCTTCAAAAGAACTTAACCACTAATCTGACTTTGAAAGCAATCACTCTCTCGTATGTCTTTATTGTTTATGACCCAAGTGTGCATCCTTAGGCGCTACAGTTTAGTCTTGCTCATATTTTTAAAACTTCATATAACTTTAACATCTTTTAATCTTCAGGTTACCCTCTTTTCCATTCTTTATTTTTCAACATGACAAGTTTACCATGTGATACAGAATTTTCAAGGATGATCGTGCTTCTGCCTTAAAAGATCATACTGTTCTTTAAAAATTTCCTCAAAAGTTAACAAAAGTTATCTCCACAGAAAGTGGCAGGCTATAATCATTAAATTAGATGTCCTGAGAGAATGTTAAAGGCTTCAGGCATTATTCAATTCTAAAACACTGCTACATCATATTTTCCCTATTTAGCAATATAAGTCAGAACAATATAAAGCTTTTATGAAGAATATATTGGTCAATGATTTCACAGGCAGGAATCATTATAGGCCAAATTCCAAGATCATAATATAAATTCCCTAATTTCCACTTCTGACCCTGAGAAAGTAAGTGGTTATAGACACGTTCCACACATCCAACTCCACCATAAATAATCTTCATACTAAGCAAAATGTATGCATCTATTTTCAAGCACTGGATAACAGAGCAAGACCACAATCCCGAAGAAAAGACGGACCAAATTCTTTGCTTATACTCAAATTTTTTTGAGTTGGAGTCTCACTCCATCGCCGAAGAGGGAGTGCAGTGGCACACTCATAGCCACCCCAGCGTCGACCTGCTGGGCTCCAGCAATCCTTCTGCCTCATACTTCCAAGTAGCCGGAACTACAGGAGGGCACTACCATGCCCGGCTAATTTTTTTATTTATTGTAGAGATGAGGGCTGGTCTCGTAATCCTCTCACCTCAACCTCCCAAAGTGCTAGGATTACAGGCTTGAGTCACCTTGCCCAGTCTTATGCTCAATTTTCTAACCAAGGAAAGGAGGTAAAGGCCAAACAGAACACAGCAATCCAACTGAGCTAGGGAGGTAGAGAATCTTCAGGAGCATGGTTCTAGAAAGGAACTGTGTAGAGGGGAACCTCAACAGCCTGGTGGAAATGCCCCATGGGTCCTTGGCCTAAGTATGGGTTGCACATATCCAGATCACAAGGCCTAATAGACAGAAGCGACTATAGGAATGAGAGCAGAAGGAAGATACTAAAGTTATACAACACGGCAAGATGATAGACTCTGGCCCATCCTAATGGAAAGACCTCGTTAACATTTTCCTTTTTCATATATACTTTATCTGTATTTATCTTTGTTCCTAGGTTTTCTAATGCTAAATCATTTATTTCTCCTTAGTTCTAAACCCTAACGATTATTTGCTTTTTATTTATTTATTTATTTTTAGAGACAGAGTCTTGCTATGTTGCCCAGGGTAGTGTGGAACTCCTGGACTCAAGCAAATCCTCCCACCTTGGCCTCCCAAAGTGCTGGGATTACAGACATGAGCCACTAAGCCAGGCCTAATGTTATTTCTTATAAAATAATGAGATACGGAGTAAAATGACACTTTTGGGATAATGTTTAATGATAATTAAAATAACTCTTTCTGGGGAAAAAAAGGCATAGATTTTTAAAAAGCATGGTCCTCCATTTGGCAGCAATACTAAAATATTGGAACAATACAAAGATGAGCCTGCCCCTGTGCAAAGTTTAAAAAAAAAAAAAAAGCATAACCCAACTATATGCAGTCTATAAAATGCCTACTTAAAATATAAAGACACAGACAGGTTAAAGCAAAAGAGTACATACACACAAAAATGGAGGAGTCAGGCACAGTAACATGCACCTCAGCTAACTGGGAGGCTGAGGCCAAAAGACTGCTTGAGCCCAGGAGTTTGAGGATGCAGTGTGCTATGATTTCACCTGTGAAAAACCACTGTACTCCAACCCAATCAACACAGCAAGACCCCACTTCAAAATAAATAAAAATAAATATGTCCTAATGATGAAAGGATCAATCATCTGCATCTTAAATGTAAATACATTGAACAAAAGAGCTTCAAACTACATGAAGTAAAAATTTATAGATCTAGGTCAGGCATAGTAAGTCATGCCTATAATTCCAACACTTTGGGAGGCTGAGATGAGGATCTCTGGAGGCCAGGAAGAAGTTTTGAGACTAGCCTGGGCAAAATAGTGAGACTCTGTCTCTCCAAAAAAGGAAAATTAACAGGGCCTGGTAGCCAGCACCTACAGCCCTAGCTCCTCAGAGAGTTAAGATGGAAGGATCAGGCTGGGCTCAGTGGCTCAGACTATAAATCCCAGCACTCTGGGAGCACTTTCCCCCCAGTCTAATTCTAGGGGGGAAAAGAAATCTGTCTTTTCTAATGGCTCCTTTTATTTCTGTAATGAACCTGAGAGGGATGAGAAATGAAGGAAAAAGCCCACAGTTGGGTAAACATCTCACTATGAATTGAGAATGCATTATGGCAAAATAGCGTGAGAGCACTCAAATGCACTCCAACCCAGAAAACTTGTAAAAAGTTTCTCAGCAAAGAAACTTAAAAAACAGAGAAAGCTCATTCTTCTGCTAATAGTGCCACACTGATTTGTTAATAGTCCCACTGAGTTAAGGTGGCCTAGGAAAGCAATACTTAGATCAGATAAGTACTAAATAAACTCAAAATTCTTCTCTTCATGCGTTCCTAGGAAATTCTGAAGGGAGGTTTCGTGTTCAAAAAGCTATAAGCAACCTAAGTATTCTGGTAGATTTACTTTCCCTCTTCATTATCTAACTCTTCTTTTATCTTAGTTTCAGTACCTTTTTGGTATCCCTCAAATTCATTTTCAATGTGGACAATATAAGTAAAAAAATATACTAAAATTAAGGAGATTTGTACCCATAGCAAAACTGAGAAATATTACACTGCATTACTTTTCAAGCAGTAAAGAAGGATAAATGAAACACAAACATAAATACTGAAAAAAGATGCTGAGATTTAACTAAAAGAAAAAAAAATAACAACATTTGTAATTTTTGGTCTCTTTCCAATAAACAAACATGACAGGTATACTTTACCTTAATTTCTATTCTTGCTCTGTGAGGAAAAAGTTGTCCAATCATAGAGAAGTCAGTTCCTACCATGCTGATGGCTAAAAAAAACATATCTGTTTCTGTAAAAATAAAAGATTTAAAATGACTGCAAATTAATCTTCTCGATAAATCAGAAAAAAGAAATCTTACATATATATTCTGAGTTAAAAATAAGTCTGATACTTGACGCAATGGCTCAAGCCTGCAATCCCAGAACTTTGGGAGGCTGAGGTGAGAGGATTGCCTGAGACCAGGGGTTCGAGGCCAGACAGGGCAACTTAGCGAGACCTCATCTCTACAATAAATTAAAAAATTAACTGGATATGGTAGTGTGTGCCTGGTCCACCTACTTAGAGGGCTAAAGCAGAAGGATCACCTGTGCAACAGAGTGAGACTCCAACTAAAAAAGGAAAAAAAAAAAGAAGTTTGACACAGGCCAGGCATGGTGGCTCATGCCTGTAATTCCAGCACTTTAGGAGGCAGATGCAAGGATTACCTGAGCCCAAGGGTTCAAGATCAGTCTAGGTAACATGGGAGACCTAGTCTCTACAATAAATCAAAAAAATGAGCCAAGCGTAGTGGTACACTCTCGTAGTTCCAGCTACTCGGAAGGCGGAGGTGGAAGGATCGTCTGAGCCCAGCAGGTCAAGGCTGCGGTGGACATGAGCGTGGCACTGCACTCCAGCCTGCTCAATAGTGAGACTCCGACTCAAAAAAAAAAGTCTGACAGTACTTAATTTTATTGGAAAGATCCTCACAGAATATCTAAAAATGCCTTCTTTAAATTTTTTTTTTTTTAATGCAGTATAAGAAATGTGCATACTTATAGCAAAGCAGCTGGAATCAAAATATTTTTTAAAAAGGCATTCTGCCTATCTTGGTCTCATTCAAAGTTTTTTTTTTTTTTTATACTGTCAGTCATAGCCAGTATAAGGTTACACGATGCAAGCAACTAATACGTACTAAGTAGTATTAAAGAAAGTAGAGCCAGGTATGGTGGCTCGCACCTGTAATCCCAGCACTTTGAGAGGCTGAGGTGACAGATCACTTGAGTTCAGGAGTTTGAGACTAGCTAGGATAATACAGTGAGATCTTATCCCTACAAAAAGTCAAAAATTAGCTGGGTATAGTAGAGCATGCCACAGTCCTAGCTACTCAGGAGGCTGAGGTGGGAGGATCACTCAAGCCTAGGAGTCTGAGGCTGCAGTGAGTCATCACCATCAAAAGAATAAAGAAAGTGCTAGAAAAATACATGAGAAATTGTTAATACAAGTTACTTCAGGGAGGGGCGCAGTGGCTCATGCCCAGCACTTTGGGTGGTGGAGGCAAGATAACTGCCCGATCAAGACCAGCCTAGGAAACTTGGCAAGACCTCGTCTCTCCAATTTAAAAAGAAAAATTTAGCCAGGCATGGTGGCACACACCTGTAGTTCCAGGTACTTGGAAGGCTGGGGTGGAAAGATCATCTGAGTCCAGCAGGTCAAGGCTGCAGTACCCATGATTGCAGCACTGCACTCCAGCCTGGGCAACAGAGCGAAACTCAGACCCCAAAAAAAAAAGTTATCTCAGGAGAATGGGAATGGGGAAGTCAGCGAAGAGAAATACAGAATCTCTCTTTTCATTCTATATTCTACTGTGTTTACATTTTTTTCCAAAACAAACTTGCTTTTTAAAGTAAAAAGTAAATAATAAGCACCACCACGCAACATACAGTGTACTTTTTTTAACAGCATAATTTTTACCTATAGAAACTTTTTACATAATACTATCTGAGGTAAAACATTTTGAGTGTTAGAAATATTGCACTGTTAATTTGCACTTCAATGGTATTGTCGTACAAGGATTTTACAGAGACGAAAATTTCAGACAAAATGACTATAAACCACATTCGTTAAAAGATTTCTAAGAGCCAGGCTTGGTGGTTCAGCCTGTAATCCCGCACCTTTGGGAGGCTGAGGTGAGTAGATTGCCTGAGCCTGCGGGTTCGAGACCCGCCTGGGCAGCGAAACCTCATCTCTACAATAAATCAAAAAATCAGTCGGGCATGGTAGCGCATGCCTGTAATTCCGGCTACTCGGAAGGCTGAGGCGGAAGGATCGCTGGAGCCCAGCAGGTCGAGGCTGCGGTGGCCAGGAGCGGCCACTACACTCCAGTCTGGGTGACATAGTGAGACTCTAACTCAAAAAAAAAAAAAAAAAAAAGATTTCTAAGATGAAGTCAGAGATACAGTTCCACAGACGGGTAGTGGGAGGTGCCAGTAAAATCAGCCTGAGAGAAAACAACATGGTCATTGCATTTTCTTTACTTAGGGAGACCTGATTTAATTCAGAAATATAAATTAGTTTGCTTCATTTCATATAAATAATTTACATACTTCTAAATGAAAGTCAGTTACCTTTATTTGACCAAGGTTTAGAGTAATAGTTTTTCCTAAAGCTGGAATACGTAGTTGTAGAACCACGCTCAAATATGGGGTCATTTTCTTCAACAACACAGGGGCCTTTTGTTCGTAAAACTTCTACAGTTAAACTGAAAGAAACACATTTTCAAATAGAGTAACACTAAAAACAAGTAAGGAAAAAATAAACGAGATTTAAATAATTAAATGGCAGTCAGGTATAATAATACATGTTTGAAATATGGGTATTTTCCAAGCATCTGCTAATTTTTATTTAAAATGTGACTCCTAGGGTAGAAATAAGTGCCAACTGATTTCCAAAATCTGTAACAGCAATATTTACAAAACAGCTTTGGGCCACCTAAAAAAGTTATTTTTATCGACTTCTGTATGACTCTTATACTCAATGCATATTACAGTGCTAGGCCCAATGGAAAGATTTAGAAATTATAAGCATTGCTTTATATTTATATTTAGATATGTATATTTTACATTTCTGCAGAGAAAGTAGCAAAATATGCTTTTAACTAGTCAATGACCACCAAAATCATCACCACAAACTAAAGGGAAACAGCATGCAAAAATAATTATTATTAGCAGTATTACATTTTCGCTTAATTATAAAATGTAAATGCTATTATTTTTCTCCTAAATAAACTGCCAAAATTTTCCATTGCTCTTTTTTATTTACTTACTAAGTTATCCTAAATAATACACTTAAGGCAACTAAATTCCACAATGCCCAACATGAGAAATTTAGTATAATAACTGAGAAACCAGATGGTGAATTAAGCCTCACCATAACAAAAATCATAAAATGTGTTAAGCCTGTGTCTCACTGCATATCCACTAGCTAACCACACACCAGAATATGATGTTAGTTAATAATATGAAAACTCAAATACTGACTTCAAGACTGAGTCAATCTTAGAAATCTAGCCTCTGTGGAAGACAGCATGTGGTTAGTTCAGCAGCTCGACTCAACTGCCAGTAAAGTTAGTAAACAACGGTGTTAGGTTAATGGATGTCAGCGCGGCAGTACTAACTTCTCAAACAAAACACAGCATTATTAAAATTGCTAAAAATTATAATTAATCTAACCCATCTTCCTATTTGCAATATTCATTATTGTAAATATTAACATCAGGGTCGAAATGACAATGACAGAGAAAAAGGATCTCTCTCAATAGACAAAGCATGCTTGTTCTCATAAAACCACGCTCTCTTGCTCTTTCCAAACCAACCTTTCTTCATCCAAAATAATAGAACCGTCTTCTGCCACTTTTACTCGAGGAACAAGTAACGGCCCATCATCTCTTTCTTCTTCCATTTCTTCATTATCTTCAGCATCAGGAGTACTCTTACTCTCCTGCCTATCAAATATAAGATAGGTTAATTCATATTTCCTTAAGAAGTGTTTCCTGAATATTACACACTTTATTTTTTTTATTTTTGAGTTGGAGTCTCACTCTGTCACCCAGTAGCCACTCCTGGTCACCGCAGCCTCGACCTGCTGTGCTCCAGCGATCCTTCCGCCTCAGTCTTCCAAGTAGCTAGAACTACAGGCACACGCTACCACACCCGGCTAATTTTTGATTAATTGTAGAGTTGAAGTCGCGCCAAGGTGCCCAGGTGGGTCTCAAACCCATGGACTCAGGCAATCCACTCACCTCAGCCTCCCAAAGGCACGGGATTACAGGCTGAGCCACCGAGCCCGGTTCAGAGTACACACATTAAAATAAACTATTCAAAGTCAACCTTCTAGCTACTTCCACTTTGCCCCAGAACCTAACTGAAAACACTGTGTTAGTGAAGATGTAATTATAGGATTTTCTCAAATTTTATCTGGAAGTATTTAGTAAGAAGCCTTTACTCTCTTTTAATATACAGAGAAATAAATGTTCATTTTCTCTATCTCAATACAATATCAGAATAAGCCATCTACTTATTAATGAATTAACAACAATAATCCAACAGGCGAGGTGATTCCTGCCTGCTGTCCCAGCTACTCGTGAGGCTGAGGCATGATTGCTTGAGCCCACGAGTTTGAGGGTGCAGTGAGCTATGATGGCACCATTGCACTCCAGCCTGGGCAACAGAGCAAGAGTCTAATTTAATAATAATCACCACCACCACCTCTGTAGTCAAATAGCATTAGTTTCCAGATCATTTTATTAATTCATCAGAATAATCCTTCAGGGTTACTATATTCACATCCATTTTTTTTTTTAATTGGAGTCTCACTCTGTCACCCAGACTGGAGTACAGTGGCCACTCCCAGCCACCGCAGCCTCGACCTGCTGGGCTCCGGCAATCCTTCTGCCTCAGCCTTCCGAGTAGACGGAATTACAGGCGCACGCTACCACGCCCGCTGATTTTTTGATTTATTGTAGAGATGAGGTCTCGCTGCCCAGGTGGGTCTCGAACCCGCAGACTCAGGCAATCCACTCACCTCAGCCTCCCAAAGGTGCGGGATTACAGGCTGAGCCACCGAGCCCGGCTTTCCACGTTGTTTTAAATTAGAACTCTAAAGCTTTAAAAGTAAATTATGCTTTTCAGGCTTATAGGTTATATTTGTTTCAATATAATCTTGAGAAGACAGTGTAGTAGACAGTGAGATTTGGAGTCATTATTTGTAAAACTGTGTTTGACTTCTTACTCTGTCCTAATCTCTGAGGTTAAAATGGATGTGAATAATCTGGGCTCGGTGGCTCAGCCTGTAATCCCGCGCCTTTGGGAGGCTGAGGTGAGTGGATTGCCTGAGTCTGCGGGTTCGAGACCCGCCTGGGCAGTGAGACCTCAT